TCAGTCGGAAACGGTTTTGTCCCGACAACGACGAGGGAGAGCTCAATATTAACAACGTGTTGGCGTGTGATTTTTCCCACTTTTCATGGAATTGAAATAACGAGAGACCCTTTCGATAGCACTACAATATACAAACCACAGAAGAATGATATATGATTCACTCAATGTAAATTATCCGCGAAACCTCGATTCAACTCACATAATGGCATTGCGTAACTCGAGTTCACGAGCATCAATGATGCTGTATTATAGCATCACATTATGGTGATGATCATAATAATGCTCACAGTTGTGATGATTTGACCAACCAAAGTGATAAAATCGTCGCCACGAGACAGAATATCAAGTGCATGTAACCTCCAAGATACCAAAATACCCCGAATAAAATTAGTGCGGAGCTTATCCTCGGATACACTTTTCCCAGTATAAGCGGCCAGATCGGAAGCAGCGTTGGAGAAACGCACCACATAATCAGCAATACTCTCATTAGGCTTCTGACACGTCACTGCAAACCGTTGCTCATCATCAACGCGAGCAATATCAAAAGATACCCCACTGCAGGATTGTGATAAGAATCGGAAAATACGAGCAATCTCCGCTACCCAGCCACCAACCGGACCAAGACCCGGTGGGGAAGGATCAAGAGTCAGAACCAGAGCAGGAGATAAACAACGATTCAAAGCATAGAAAATACTGACGGGATCTCCCAGGAGACCATTACTACGACGAAGTAGATCGAATCTTCTTTTCCAAACAGGGTATGGTAACAGATCACCGGTACCAGAAAATTCTACAGGCTCCAAAGAAAGAGCAATGCGACGACCTTCAGATAAATCCTTCCTACCAATATTAGTAACTGTCGAGGTGGGGATCGGCCTTCCCTTCTGTAAGCTCCTCATACATTGGTGATACCGTCACAGGCTTAGTCTTCTTGGACATAATCGAGGTGACCTGACCACCCAATTCTTCTTCAAAACCAATACGATTCAGTTGTTCTTGACAAGTAGCACCCCATTTTTTAGTAACCAAAGGAAGAAGTCTCCTAAAAATACCCATCGTGGTGCAGCTTGGAATTTACGATCTTCTGTTCGGCCATACTCATACAACATCTTGATGACAGTTGCAACCTTACCTTCGTGCACGTTAGTCACCAATGAAGCAGCATCAACCCCTTCACCAAAGGTCTCCTTAGAATCATCGGGGGCAACAGCCCTGAGGGTTTCAACCGCAACGTTCAGAACATTAATACCAACAGGCACCATCGTAAGCCATGAAATAATCAAGTCTCTAACAGCAATCACTTCCGGAGACAAAGAAGTATTAGTCACTGAGTCCTTCTCGGTTCCAGTATCATGTTCGAGCTCCTCCGAGGACTCAGCGACTGTCATTGGTGATAAACTCAGGGCCTTTAGATGAGGTTGAATAACTTATTGTACTTATAGTAAAGACGATAAGAAAAGGGGGCAAGCTTTGTGATAGCTACGAAAGAGACAACGAGATCACAACGTTACAACAATACTACTCTCTCTATTTGTCTTGTCTTATCTGCTATGCTATCTATTTCGTGCTGTCTTAGTACATATGTCCCTCCCTCCATGTTTAGAATTGCCAGTAGAATCCGAACCAACCGCGTTCGTACCTTGTCGCCTCATCCTAATGCTCCTAGCGGCGATCAGACCATGCTTGATCCCCGCTCTCATCAATATCCTCTTCAGCCTCAGATCCCGAGTCAGGATCTCCACGGAGATCCTCGAAATCGCAATCCTCTTCAGTGAGGCTGATCTCCGTTCCTTGACTGGACCCAGGCTCCTCTTCATCAATGGTCTTACAAGACCATAGACCAAGGCGGCCTTGGCAAGGCCATTAGTCACCGATAAGTGTAGCTTGTGGCCAACGCATTTCATATGCAGGAGGGGCCCAACCTCAGTTCGAAGATACTCCATCATCTTGTTGTTAGACGACGCTGCATCGCTAGTAATACAACATACACGGGACGCGATCTCCACTCCATCCATCACCGAGCGGATCTGATTCGCCAGGTTCCGTCCGGTGTGTCGCCCTTCTATGCGACAGAAGTCGATGATCATCCTATGGAGATGACCAGCTTTCCAGAAATGACCGATGATGCCTGAGTAACGCGAATGTTGAAGTTTGTTGTCGACCACTTCTTACTCAAGAAACTTGATCTACTAGATTTACACCACGCATCCACGCTAAGATTGATGCAGTGAGCATCTTTTACTCGCTCTGAACGGAGGCACGAGTATGCTCATCAAATATATCATCTCACCTGTGACCATGGCCATATGTCCGCTCATGCGTTCATGTAGTTGTCGTACTAGCTCTCTCCGGCTTGGCATGGAAAAATTGGGGTTCAACGAGTCCAGGAACTTCTTGAAGGAAATATTTTCCACCGTGCATAATGGCACACCCGAGTGGATGACAAACTGCATCAGGCCCTCCTTCCATTTCTCCTCAGTGTCACTCGTGCAAGAAATAGCTCCATGGACAACTTTTGATTTTTTCTTCCGCGAGCTGCATGAGCTCTCGTGATGATTCACCCCACTGAGGTATCTCTTATTTATCTTGATGCATCGCCCACATCGCGGACACTTGGCAGAATTCCCTTCTTCGTTGGATACTAGTTCCCAAGCTGTGGGTAGCTTGCTAGCCAAAGATTCTTGGACCTTATTGCGAGGAGCCATGAGGGAGGAAGAGGAACTAAGAGCTACGAAATCATAATTGACATGAGTCTGAGTGTACGTGGAGTGAGTTCTGACGACCCGCCATGGAGTACTTGAACCAAAGATATAGAGCGCGGCACATGGGGTGGTTCAATGTGAGGTTCCTGAGTTTTCCGTGCTTTTTGTCGTAAAAGCCGTTTACGTGTTCCGTAATTTACGTTACGGGTTTGCCTCCGTAAGCGTAAACGTCAATCGTAACGGTCCGTAACGTAAATTTGCCCATATATAGATGACAGAGTGGCGATATTGGAACTATGAGATTGGGAATACTGTTGCTACACAGGCGAAGTGTGTGGTCGATAGTGTTGAGTTCCTTCTCCTGATCTCCCTGTTGTGAACAGTTCATAATCCTGATCCCATGGTAGACATGCATTGCCGATATCAGCTGCCACAACCATTCAGTACTCACCCAGTGCTATACAAGATGATTCACTTTGATGCAGGCCTTGAGGGTGAGTAGACGTTCGGTAATATTCATAAGATCTTCAACCGCAATCCTGAATAGAAAGATCGCTAACATTTTTATGGCACTAAGTCGCAGCATCTGCGACAGCACTAAGTACGGCACTAATACCTGAACTCTGAATCTTGCAGGAGCGGGCGCGAGTCCGTTAGCAAAGCAAAATGTTAAGCCACATCTGTCGCAAGGATGAGCTCGATAACAAAGACCTGCAGGCTGCCCAGTACGGAGGTCCTGGGCCGTCTCTACCTCTCCTGGAGAGGTAGGGTATCCGCTCTATTCTGAGGGCGTCAAAAATTGGTACAGGTACCAACTAACAAGAGTTCGTTGTCAATTGTGATTGATTGAGACTGTTGTATTATACAACTTGTATAACTTGGCTGCCTATCAATGGTAGAATAGGCACGTTGGGTAGATGGTTCTCTTGCGGATCGATCAGGTTCAAGTTGAAGTCACGACCAATAGCGAAATATGAATTCACGAAACCCGAACTGAGCAAACCAGTTATGGTGATGGTAAAGCAGAGAATGTTACAGATTATTGACGCATGATCGTCTCCAACTATCTTTGTACTCCTCCGCCGGTTACCAAACAATACGACCACCCATATACCAACATTCAACCGCGCGGATCATACAAAGAGAGAAAATAACATGATAGACAAGGGTTACATCAAAATGAGGACTGGATAAACTCCTGGCAAGGACGATACAGAGAATGAACACAGCAATACTAGATAGTGTCTACAATTACACGAGAGTAATAGCAGCTGGTGGTAATACGTGATATATCCAGGATTAGTTGAAGAGAATTTCGTCTGTTGCGTGCCAGTGTTAAACGTATGGTGTAGAATCATACCACTTAAAGCATGGGAGCGAGTAGGGTGAATATCTAATGATGGTGGTGGTGGTGGTGGTGAACTATGGATAGAAGATACTGCGAATACAAGAACAGTCTAACAGCAAGCGGAATGCTCCTGGTCTTCAATATTGGTGCAACGATCCCTGCGGCATATCTCCGAAAAAAGAGTCATGAGCTGTTGAATAAATAGTACCGATACTCCAAATCTATCTTACAAACGCTGATCACCGGGTGGATGGTCTGGGTGCCATACGCAAAGCTCAAGATGACTCTGGCCAAGTAGAATAGTCATTGACAAGCATTGCTCGTGCATCGCTCGATTACGCTTCTCACTCAGTTTGTAGACATGCTGTCGACCCCGGACATGCATGCGATCGTGATGCGTCGTGGTTGGTCAACCTGATTCTACACTCTCTGCAATGTATCGCACCAGAATAGTCGCGCACACCCAAGCAGTGATCAAGATCAGTAGGATTTGTGGAGAAACTCAGAACTACAACTTAGAAGAAGACTCCTCGCGCTTAGGCATTGAATGCATCCGGCGCCGAACGGCAATTGGCCTGTATCAAGTGGAAATTTGAGCTGGACGGAACTAACCTGAGTTTCTACTGGTTTTCTGGGCTTGAGGTTGTTACGACGTAGCATGATCTGCTTTACTTCGCAAGCTGTACTTGTTAGGTTAAGATTATTACAGGCTTATCTTACACTTCATCATAAGCTTAGCTAATAACTTGTTAACCTTGTTTCTTCGATACTTACTCGGAAACAACATTTTGTGAATTACTACCGAGGGTCCATAGACGAGTCGCCCGAGAACCACAATCTGCGCCTCGAATACTTTATTTATACTGTTAGCAACGCAAAATTAAGGTTCAATGACGCGTTCACATAGGACGAATAGGACGAATAGCAAGTTCAACCTACACATACTCCAAGTGAGACACAGTGTCTCAGACACTTACGCGTCACTGCGATGTTGACGCGTGACGAACATCAGCGAGTGTGACGGAACATCCACCCCATTGTCGAACAGCGGAGTTAGAGCTAGTTCCTGACAGTGCTCACGGGCTGCCCTGCATCTACTGACTGGGAAAGAAATAATTGGCTCGATCCAAACTATCACGAAGTACGCTTTATATTGCAGTTCTGTATCTCTTGCAGGCACCTGGGCATTCCTTGTTTCATTTGTTTCAATAAGAAAAATCTATCACACTCATATCAGAGTGTAGGCACTAGCAATATCTCTCTGATGGACTATTATAGAGATAAATTTAAAAAAAGAGTATGTATAGATATTGGTCCAATATCGCTACTTTCCCTCTACCATGATACTATTTTTAGTATCATCATGAGACTAACATGGTGTTCTACAAAGGCTCATTCGGGCCTTCTTTTCTTCGACAGTGGGTTCGACATGGATATCCAGAGTCATATATCAGTCTCACTGACCATACGACGATACTCACTGCTGCTTTGTGATGGCAGGTGCCGCAGTTTCACTCTGGAAGGCCATCTCGGGATACAGAGGCTACCTGAAGTTGAGCAAATGCAAGAGATACAAATTGAATGCAGGGTTTGTCCGTTTTCCCGGGAAATCTTTCCGGAAATTTCCCACATTTTTCCCCGAGTTCAGTCTAGCGTTTCGGCATTACATGGGATATACGGTGGTCTAAATATGCGCCTTTCTTGCATTTACAGGAAAATTGGCACTTGGGCGTGTAGTCCGCACTGCGGCGATGAGTAGCGGCCCTTACGTTTCATCTTATATAAAGGATTGAACTCGATAACCATGTCTTGTGGTGTTTAATTGCTACTAGCAATATGCCTACCAGCCGATCTACTGTAGTTCAGTATTTGAAAGCTCTCTTCTTATTGATGGGAGGCCGCGGTCGTCCATGCAAGGGTAACTTCCGGCCAGACGGCTTTTTCGAGGCCTTGCTGACAGTAGATGGATGGAAACCCGACTGCAATATCCCGGAGCGAGGCACCCAACGTGATCACAGCCTATTTCCTGTATAAATTGAAACCGGGTGCCTTACGTCCTTTCTTCAAAGATCTTGTCCAGTCCTGCATGTGTTTGAATATATCTTTGGAGAAAGTGTTTCTCACAAAAACAATGGAACGCACCCTGAATTTTCTGAGGCCCGGATTTTCAATAGCAAGCCTCACAGCTGAGCTTATTAAGGAGCTCACTGAGGAACTTCGGCTTGACGCACATCACAGTATCTGCATGGAGATAGTCCACGCCTCTGACGCCGGCCAATGTATCGGTCTCTACTTCGACACAGTAGCTACGACCGTGCGCATAGCTGCATATTTTGCAGTGCCTCAAGGATTCGAACTCCTGCGGCTACTGAGCTTCGGCATTCATAATTGCGTTCTAGAAAATGATGCCCTTGAGGTTTATCAGGGGCTCGCTACCTTGTTTCAAAGCATGTGCGATCTGTGGGAGCAGAATGCCTGAAAGACGCAGAACATCGGAGTGATAGTGATATGAATGTTGTGTGCTCTCTCACCCGCAAATGAGATCCCACTCAGATAGAAAGGGCCTCTGTACTTGGGGAATCGACTGAAAAACTCCTCCACGAATCTGTATCTGATGATGACGGAGAAGATCCAACGAAATCCCATGAGATTCGGACTAACATGTTCTCCACAATCTCTCCTATGGCTGTCTCAGGTGGCCCTCCTTTACTGTAACCCACCCCAGTGGGTTGATCCAACCAGATGCCATTGGCCCTGTTAGTTCACGAGTTCCTGAAATATTCATCTTGAGAATCATCGATGTGGACATCTTACGGGTTGATGGATGTCGAAGTTCCTTCTTTGTTTACCATGCAAGGACCATTGTATTCGACCGCTGAAACAGTTGCGCTCCCGCCTGGGCCACCGTGAACCCATAGGAAGATCGGATCAGTTGCTGGACTATTCCTCGATTCGAAAAACCAAAAGAAGTACCTGCCGACAGGTCCCTCCCCGTAGCAGTGAACAGTAGTTCTCACTCCCTCTCTGGGTTTCCCGGGTACACAGCATAGCGCCCATGAACTTGCTTAACGTCGGTATCACAGAGTAATAACCTTGGCCACTAGTAATAACCTTGAGACCCTCCGAGGTAGTGTTCGTAGGACCTATTTTACTATAAGACACTTCTGGAACTACATGAGGAGCTTCGAACGTCCACAGGAGGCTGCTCAACCTTAACAAATTCACAGTAAAGAGCATGAGGGATGTTACTCAACTGCCTGAAATAAATCTACCTTTGAGTACAAGAGATCCGGACGAGGACATGATCGGG